ATTTTTGTGATTTATATCGTTATGAGACGATAGAATTCTTATATCGGGATATGAGATTTTGGTCATATCGCACAGCCCTAGTTGCTACCATGTGATTTATGGTTTATGTGATATTTACGTTTACAAGCAGTTCAACAGGTATACCTAACAAAATGGCCAGTGATTTATTTATTTTTTTTGGACCTATAGCTGTGTTTAAAATGGCAAACAAATCACAACATGTTTTGAATTCCAGTTTTGTGCCCATATTTTCTTTTTCATTAGTTTTTCATGTTTTATTTTTGTTTTTGTCATCTCTGCCGCACCTTCTCAGTCTGCATTGTGTCTATATTTGTTCTGTTCCGGCTAGTTGTCATTGTGAGCCGTTAATGGTTCAAAGTGTGGATAACAGTAGCCCCTGGGCCTGTGTAAACCTTAGCCTCCCTACTCTTTTTTTTTTTTCAATTCATTTCATCGCTTTTTTTCCCTCCATTTTTCTTTTACTTCATTTCATTTCACGGAGATTTGTCCTAATGGATTTCACTGTGATCCTGCCTTTAATGGCATTTGCGTTTAATGGATGTGTGTGTGTGTGTGTGTGTGTGTGTGTGTGTGTGCTTTACCGCCTTTTCTTTTTCTTGTGCAGTCGTTTTTGTGTGTTCGTTTCAATGCGTCCACACCTGTGTATCACTCTGCCAGTCCAGTCCCCAACCCCCTCTTCAACTCGTCCTCATTGCCTGCTTCTGTTACAGCGGAGTTGTCTCTCACCTGCGTGCATAATTCATAAGAGTTGAGTTCTGATAAATGCATCTGCAAGGCTTTAGATGGAAGGCTTCTGTTGGGTCATTGGGTGCAATTCTCCTCAACTTCAGCATCTGCCATCACTAGAAAAATAGACAGTAGCATCCAATTTTCCAGCTCCCCAAAAAAGCCATCTATGTGGAAATGGAGCCTCTCAACTGCAGAACAACATACTGTATACAATTCATAATGGGAGACAAGATGGCAAGAGAGGCAGTGTGAGAGGGAAATAAAAAAGAAAGAAAGAAAAAAGATTGAAATATGGAGCCAAAAAGAGTAAAAGAAAACTAGAAAAGAGTAGCGGAGGCACTTGGTACTTATGGTTTTCATAACGGCTACATGTTCTTGTCTGCTCCTAAGCTGAGTGTCTCAAAGGTGTGTTAAATCGCGCACTTCTTTCCTAAGGTACGCTCTGATACTTAGGCCTTCAAATCTGGGGAGCTATTGTGTCTCTCAGTCTGTCGGATTCATTGTTTCCCCCCTCTCTTTTTCGCTCAGCGCCCCCCTTTCTCTCATTTTCTCTCTCTCTCTTTGTCTGTCTCGCCTCCCACTTCTTCCCTTTGTTCTCCATTTAAAATTCTAGTCATACAATATCCAACGCCTCCATTAGTTTGCAGTATTGCCCACCAGGGGTTGCAGCAGCACTCTGCAGCCAAGAAATTCAGTACAGGAAAACGCCAATAGCGCTGTTATGTGATATCAACAAAAACATAACTTCCTTTTTAGAAATTTATTGCTTAGACACAGCACCCGTGGTATCATATTATGTTTCACACTGTTCTCCAACTGCAAAAATCTGAGACTGCGCTAAAACTTGCATCTAGTTTAATGCCTGAATGATTATTCTGCTGAGTTTGTGCTCATGTTTGCACAAGTCTTCGCCCATTTACCCCCCCAACCGCTCCATACTGTTTAATGTGGCGATCAGGTATTCAAAACCGGCTCAGGATCAGAGGCCTGTCAGACTGCCCAGGCTCTTCTATCAGAGGGAAGGATGACAGCGAAGCCTTGAGAAAATGCCAGCAGGCACGGATGTGCTTCATCACAGCGATATGGTTACACTCACAGCACAGCTGAGCCAGCAGATTGCTAAAGCGTAGTCTATACTTCAATAAAAGTTCAATTTATGGTCTCCGTTCTCCTCCCCACCTTTCTCTCTGGCTCTACCTTTATCCTCATCTCCCAATACGTGTGTGTGTGTGTGTTTGTGTGAAAGTCTGTGTGCATGTCTTTGATAGACAATTACTGAGGTTTTACGTTTGAGTAACCTTCCAAGATGATCTGGATCGGACCTTGCACACATTGTGTTGATGTGTCGCATTAGCCTTATCTGACTCCTCTCATCCATATTCATCATCAGCACACGTCGGATCACAAGGGATTATTCGCAGAGTTTTTCATCTGACTTAATTTGTAATCTTCGGTTCCTTGAACGTCTTGTCGTTCTTCCTTTCTGTTTTACGTTCTGTTTCATCACCTGCTACAGTGCCGAAGGACCCAAATCCCCAGTGGCGAAGGGTGGCGTGGAGCTATGACTGCACTCTGCTGGCCTACGCTGACAGCACCGGCACCGTGCGCCTTTTCGACCTCATGGGCAGCGAACTCTTCGTCATTCCGCCGGTAACAGTCCTTCTAAGAAAAAAAAAAAGAAAAAAAAAAGTCAATGTTTCAAGCTGTGTGTGTGAGTCAAAGTGAAAACCAGCACCTTCCTGTTCTTAGTTTGATCCCCCTCTTAGCTCAGGATCCATCAGCACAACCGTGCAAGTATCATAGTCAGTTATTCCATGATTCCCATCTCCATAGTTTCTTCTATTTTCTTAGATGATTGCTTCGGCTACAGTATGTTATATCTTAACTGAATGCATTTGTGGTATGATATATGGAGGAAAGCATCAGTTTTGAGTTCTGGAAAATAGTTTCTTATTCTGCCAAATTGATAGAACGCTACTGGAGATCTGGTGCTACCTCTGGCTGCAGGAGGATTCGGGCCCGTAATCTTACCTCCAGAGATGGGCTGAGCTGTGCTGTTTCAGTGCAGCACACATTTTGCTGGGCACTTTGAGCTGTCTGTCACTTTTGAAGAAAATGTCTCCTTGTCAGACACACTCTGTGCTCTCTTTGCCCGTCACTTCTGCTTTCTAATTCACTCTCTGTTTCTTCTTCTCCATTGTGTCCCATTTCTCCCCCCCATCTTCATCACCTTCCCTCTTTAATTTTTCATGCTAGCTTCTCTCTGTCTCCCCCAGAACCTCCTGTATTTCTCTCCTCTGTCATCCTTGCATGTGTCTCTCTTAGTACCTCTCCCTGCACTTTCAAGTCCATGTGCTATTCCTCCCTCAGTTTAATGCCCTCTGTGTGCTGCATATTATCATTCTTCTGTTTCTGTCCATCGTTCCTTTCAATTTTTCTATCCGCCCTGTCAGAGATGGCGAGCGCAGACGCCCGTCTTCTCCCTAGCCACGCACTCATCTTTCAAAGCCTGTGATCCTCATTCCTTTAGTGCATCTCTGCTTTGTGCTTGCACACTTGCATCAGAACCCCCCCACCCCCCCCCCCCCCCCATCCCCCTCTTCTGTACTTTGTACTGTTCCCCTTGTTTGTCACTGTTAAGTTCACACAGTGGCGACTTAATGCTATTTCTGGAAGGGATGATAAAAAGTCAATTTGACAGAAAGTGTACGCGTGTATGAAAAAATGACAGTTTCTTCCCTTTTTCCCCCACGACACTCAGCTTTTGTCTGTCTTCTGCTTCTGTTGTTTTTCATTCCCTGTTTCATTACTTTCTTTTTTAATCTTTTGCCTGTTTTTTTTTTTTCCTTTGTCAAATGCAGATTGTGTGATGTAACTTTAGTTGTTTTTAAAAAAATAAATTAATTAACAAGTAAAAAAAAAAAAAAATTTGTGAGGGCACAAAAATCAATACTAACAATTAAGCAAATTTTACATATTTTGAAGTGATTCTTCTTTGTTTTCTTGCTTTTTAAATCCAGGTGGCGAGCTTCCCCGGGGATTTCAGTTGTGCAGTGGCAGGGCTCATCTTCCTGGAGTATACAGCTAGTGCTCAGTGGTCAGCCGAGCTCCTCGTGATTACATATGGTGGCAACCTCAAAAGCTATCTAGTCAGGTGAGACACAAAAATGCTGGATTGAAACTTCCTTTTTCCATTAGGCTGGGTCACACTTTGATTTTATGACTTGCACAACACCTTTGACCCATTAGAAGGCCTTTCATTACTTACTCTTCACATTACACTTCACCTGCTCTCACCACTTAAATTTCAATTACCACTTTTTATGTACTCCTCTCTTTGTCTGACTTTTTAATTCCTCTCACTGTCTGTGTTTCATTCCTATGTATCACTGAGCAGTAAGTCATGACAATAACTGTATTTTGTTACAAAAAAAGGAATATTACTGAATGTGTAATATGGAGTATGTGGTGGACTAGGGGCTTAAGTGGCAATTTCTTCCTCTACATTTTTGCTCCCAACCTCTCTGTGTGTTTGTGTCACTGTAATTTAGCATTAGGCCAGGTCACCGTTTCAGAGTGATGATGATGCTTATTAACCATATGTGCAATATGTCAGTTAGAGAGTCTGTTGTTGAACAGTCACAACACAATAAACCTGCATAAATGAGCCTTTTCTTCACTGCGCTGTCACAGCTTTACACGTTAGAACCACACAGTGTGCTGAATGATAATTGCAAATTGATGTGATCAAGATGATTCACAGCAAACAGATAATTGTCAGTTATCATTAACACCTCCCAATTAGAGATGTTGGTGCATTTCCAGTTTCAAGTGCCTGCTTATTGTTTATTGCTATCTAATTTCATTGCATTTTTTCAAGCTAACAACTCTCTTAGACGAGGAGACCTTTTCTGCTTTGTTACTATATGATCTAAATGCATGCATTCTAGCATTTATTCATTCTTATCACTTTTTTTGTTTAAAGCTTTTTGTGGTGTGTCTTAATACTATACTATACTTGAACATTTTAATACCATTTCCCTTTTCTTGCCACTCCTCATGCAAATGGGCATTTTGAATACTTGATTAATGACATTCTAATAGCTATGTGCTTTCCTAATAGCTGTGCACGCCTTCCTTTTAACATTATCACTGTTGCATTATTTCAGGGTCCCCCCCCACCCGATCTTGTTTGTTATTGTGCTGGCTCTCCAAGACATAGGGTGAAAGTTTTAATGTGTGTTGAATCTTGATAAGACGGCTTTGAGCGTGCATAGCGGCGTTTGCTAATAAGACGAGGGAAAAGCTGATTTATTTTTCTATTAGAGGCAGATAAATGGCGTTGGATGCTTTTGAAACATCCAAACTGTTAGTCTGTGTGTGTGTGTGTGTGTGTGTGTGTGTCTGTGAGAGAGAGAGAGCGAGAGAGAGAGAGCTAGAGAAGGAGAGAAGGGAAGTAATTAAGATGTGGGAGACATTTGCACCAGATTTCCTCTGAAAGTGTTTTTAAGCTTATACTCACTCTTCCTCTTCATATGACTGCATTCCAATATTGTCACTCAAACAGTTTAAATTAGAATTTCAGAATTATAGCTGAGGTTTGACAATAAGTCACCTCTCTCACCCTCTTACACTGTGCCAGCATTTCTTTTCTGCGTGTGTGTGTGATTGGTTCAAGTATTACTGATGTTGTGGGGACCTTATTTGTTTTCATCATCACAATATAGGGACGTGTCTTCCTTATGGGGACAACATTAAAAACCAAGTCCCTTATTAAATAGTGAAATCATCATATTTTCAGATGCTGACATGGGTTTATGTTAGGTTTAGGTTTATGCAAGTTGTGCTTTTTTTGCATACATGTATCTCTTCACATTCATGCTTTACTGTGGTACGAAGACGTGCATATGTAGAGGAAGCCAAAGTCTAGGAATTGTGCACATCCCTCGGCTATTTCCCTCGTTCTCCCTTTCTTTCCCTTCCTACCTTTCATAGTCTCTTTCTCTCCATACAATGTACACTGAGAGGAAACATTTCCCCAGCGAGATATCTAAACACAAATTACACGTCATCCCCTCTAGCACCAATCTAATTTAGATTGCCCACTTAAATTTGATTATTTATTTTGCCATGTCTCATTTTAATTGCAGCTGGGAGAGAAATTGCTCTGTCATCTTCCTCAAAACAGCTTTGTCGCATCATTAACACTTTCCACATGAACACTGGTGTTTTGATTGTTTATGTGCCAGAGTTCAATTATAGGCAACTTGCTATTTTAATATCATCTCTGTCGCTCTGTGTCACCCTCTCTGTTTCAGCATGGGAACCAATCAGAACTTTCAGGAGAACCACAGCTTCAGTTTTTCCTCCCATTACTCCCACGGGATCACCTCAGCTATTTACCACCCTGGCCACCGGTATGTTAAATGCTGCCAACACCCCGTCAGCCCAGATATCCTGTTGAATAAAGTTGAAATAATAAGTATTTTGATAAAGAAAAAAGAAAAGCTTTGAGCTTTTAATTTGTCATTGGCACCCTAATTATTGCCCATAGCCTCGACTTGACACCCTTAGACATTTTATTCTTCTTGTGGCCTCTGCCATTCAAGCCCACTTCCATTAGAGCCGCGTTTCATCAAGAGTGTTTTTCATAGCTTTATATTCAGACATCTACAGACATCCTCATAAATCCCTTGAATCAATTTTTATGTTGAAACCCACTGCCGACCATGCGATGCAGAATGATTTCAAAGCCTTTCATCATTTGATATCTTGGGCCGTCGTCAATATGCTCCTAAATATGTATTATATTGATCAGTGAGCTGGATGTGTTTACTGCATTAAACAAACCTTTATTTTGCTAAAGGTTGCTTTGCAGAAAGATATATGATAGAATGTATAAAATAGATTATCACTTGGGAAGTCCAATAAATAAAACATTCTTGCACAGAAACACACACTCATATGTATATTCTGCACAGACAGAATATGTTACTCTATGGCAGCGGTCCCCAAGCCCCGGGCCTCGGAGCGGTACCGGTCCGTGAGTCGTTTGGTACCGGGCCGCGAGAGTTGAGGCTCAGGTGTGAAATGTATGGTTTTCAGGGTTTTTATCGGTTTTCAGCGTTATTTTTTTATCGTTAACTCTATTTTCCTGGGTCTTTTCACGTGTGTTATGAATAATTCTTCCTTTTTTTCGGTACTGGTACTAGTTTTATTTTGTTGTATTTATCCGCGACACCTTAAAGGCCGGTCCGTGAAAATATTGTCGGGCATAAACCGGTCCGTGGCGCAAAAAAGGTTGGAGACCGCTGCTCTATGGAATAGGTCCAAGGGGTTGCTCAGGGATAAATTAACCAATTACTTTAAAGTAGTACCTGCAGGAATTTCCTGTGGCAGCCGAGCAAATGTGGCCTTTTACACGGCTAGAATTAAAAAAGTCTGGCTTATATCCGTGACCTTACTGTTCTCACAACGGCACCCATTCTGCACAAACCAGATTTAGTTTGGCAGCTTAATGGATTTTGGCAGCTACTGTCTAGTGTTTTGCCAATTGATAGATGCGATAAAACTTTAATAATTCCCATGCGGGAACTGGGTTAGCATCAGAGAGAATTTGATAGATAAGGAAGGGAAGAAGGAGAAAAAGGTGATAAACTGGGTAAAAGAGAAAATATTTCAAAAACTGAGTGTAATTATGAAAATGGTGCATAATTTATTTTGTAATGCATGCACACCTTTGAGTGAGTAGTATCAGAGAATGTGCATCAGAGGGACAAGAGTCTGGCTGAATCCTTTTTCATGAAACAAGAAATCAGAGTATAGAAGGAAATCATATTGGAGGTTTTGCACACTCTGTCCTGTCCTCAGCTGAACTATGGACACGCACACACATACATATACTGATACTGATAAGCACTCACTGACGCATCACCCTCCCTACCCCGGATCCAACGCCACCTCCAACGCTTACCTCCCCTCTGATGTGGACATCAGGTCAGCTGGAGGCGCAGTCGAAAGATTACAGCGGTCCCAGATCAGATGTACACACTGGAACACTTTCCCATGTTGCTTGTCTGTGTTTATTGTGCTATGGTGTGTTGATATCTGTGCATTCCTGTATTATCCTTTTGTGTTACACATTTCGATGTTTTTTTTCCTCGCTACCTAGCCTGATCTGTCTCCCCAATGTGATGTTTGTGTATTGTATGTACGGTCGGCAAGGTTTGTCATCTCGGTTGTGGGCAAAAGACCTGCAACTGACAAATAAAGGCTATCTCATCTCATCTCTCATCTGCCAGTTTGCAAACTCATCTGTGAGATCTCAGCTCCAGCAAAACAGTCTATTTCTGTGCACCAGGGGGCAGTGTTGAGCTGAACAGCAGTCCACCATTCACGCCTATCTCTGAGTTCCTGATCAGTATTGTATCGGGCTCTTCTCACTGCAAAGAGAGAGCCTCTATCACTGTGGTGCTGCTTGTCTTAACTACTGACCCACTGATTCCAGTCGGACTTATATCCGATAAATAAAACTGATATCCCCCGGTTTGCTAAATGGTGCTTTTATACTGTGAATTTTCACTGATCCCTTGGCTTTGACCCAGGCTGAGGATAGCTTCACAGTGACAATTTTAACTTTAAATCCTTGATATGCAGTTTAATTTGAACTTTTGGGGCACAGTTGCGAAGGTGGTATCCACAAATGTGCGTGTTCCTGTTTTTCAGATTGCTGCTTGTAGGCGGCTGTGAATCAGGCGATGACAGTGCATCCAAGGCCTCTTGCTGTGGCATCACAGCCTGGAGGGCTCTTTCTGGCTCACCACACTACAAGCAGGTCACCAGCTATGAGGACGATGTCAGCATGGCAAGACGTCACACATGCACACACGTGTTTATGCAAAAAAATAGATATATTTATGCAGTATGTAACACATTACATATTCTGTTTGTGTTAGAATCAGAAAAGAGGTTTCTTCAGGATTCCCAGTTTTAGACTCTTTTCCAGACAAGGAGACGAAAAGGTAGGGCTGCCCTCCTCTGTGTGCCTGATGGAGAATTAAGCTCAAGTTGTGGAAGCTGGTGAATATTCTCTTTAACATGATGTGTGTGTCGTCATTGGTCAGGACGGTGTGTTTCGCATGAGCCTTAGCCCTGACGGCACCCTGCTGGCTGTCATCCACTTCTCTGGTCGTCTGTCTCTCTGGGACATCCCGTCACTTAAACAGAGGGCAACATGGAGTCAGGACCTGCAGGTATGCCTCTGACTTACTTGTGATTTAAAGCATCCATGATTTTGCTTAAGTAGAGTAAACCTGTGTGCACTTCCATTTGTGTGCCGTGGGAATATTTTGTACATTAGATGCTTGGCTTACTGTATTAATGTAATCTCTTTCTGGCCAAGGTGTGTGGTGGGAAAGATTGAGTGAATGTGTGTGTGCTTCCGTCAGGCAGAAAGTGACATGGCAAATGGAGAACTTATATTTTCAGAATGCTTTGCGGATTTATGCGGCGTGTAAGCATGTTCTGCTTCATTGCTGGCACAGCTTCTGTCTGTGTGTGTGTTAAAAGTGTAAACAGGGTTAGCCGATTAATTTCTTCTCCCATCGCTCTCTCTTCTTCTTTTCCTCCCTTCTTCATTCCTTCGTTCCTCCCCGCAGCCAGGATTTGAGGAGATCAACCCAGAGTGGAAGACATCGCTGGAGAGAAGGAAGAAAATAAAAGGTAGTTTGGCCCGAAGGGCGAAAGACAGCCTAGTTGGCTGCTGACATAGCAGTCCAGCCTGGATACAATTTAATGATCTTTGACGTGCCTTATTCACTGAATTATACAGTTATTAGACATACAACCATATAGTGTGTGCCAAGGATAGCAAAGGCTGCCCATTTCTGTGTATGGGTGCGTTTCTGTGCTTGTGTAGTTTCCCGTGTGTGTGTGTGTGTGTGTGTGTGTGTGTGTGTATTCTGTTTGTGCAGCTTTGACAGTTTTGGGCCAGTAGTGATGACAGCTGTGACAGCTTCTGTAAGCAATAATCTGTGTGATACTTCATCTCAAGCATGACAAGTGATGTCACATGTCCACATGTGTAAATATATCTTAGAGGAGGAAAGTAATTCAGAAACACTGTGATCCCAGAAAGTGGGGCCACTGATGACAAAAGCTGTACAACGCACGCTCAGACAAACTTTTATTACAAGTAGGGGAACCATCTTTTCTGTTCTGTTTAGGTCAGCTTCCTCTGGTAGACAGTCACATCTTTAACACTACCCTTATGTCTTGCTGTCGCAGATAAGGAGCAGTTCTATCCGCTGGTAGATGTGAGCTGGTGGAGTGACAACGTGCTGATTTTGGCCCGCTGCTCTGGCTCTGTCACCGTCTCTTCTGTCAGGACATTGCGCAACCTTCTGGGGAAATCCTGTGAATGGTTTGAGCCCTCACCTCGAGTCACTGCTGCACATGATGGGGGCTTCCTCAGCTTGGAGGTAAAAAAAAGAAAGAAGAAAAACATGTAAAGATGGAGGTGTTCACGTGGTTAAGCAAACAGAGTTTGTACAATGGTGCAGGCCTCATGAAAGCATCCTTTTGCAGTTGTTAGATGATAGATTTTGGACTTCAGAGCTTTAAAAGGCACATGGGAGAATAGAGGACAGTTCTTCATCTCTTTTATCAGTTTTCTACACTGCTTATTGAGTTCAGTGTGGCACAGGCCTGAAGCCTATCTGAACAGGCAGTGGTCTGGAACAATGAAAGAGACTATATGGGCCACATGTTTGTCATGAGGACATCACTTATTTCATTAAAATTAAAGAAAAGTGTAAAATGGGCGTGACTGCACATTTTTAATAAAAGGTACACCTGCTAACACAAGTGTGTGCTCAGGTCCTCTGACAGCTGAGGTGATTGTGTGTGATTCATTTTTTTTCTGCTAAAAAACTACATCCTTATATCCCTGCAGGTATTTCCAGTTTTCTAGTGTCATTGTGTGAGACAATGTGTAATTGTGTATCTGTAGTGGTAAAGGGATGAAAAATGATTTCCTGCATCTTCATCCTCAGACAAAGACCATGATATCACATCATCCTGCTCTTTGCTTAAAGTCGTGTGCTTTTTATTTTTTATTTTTTTGAAATCTGATTGCGTAGAGCACAATAAAAAGCGAGCAATTTCTTTAGCTGCTAACTCTGAGGAAAGGTTTCATCACCCTGTCTCAGTGCGGAGTGTGTGGGGACGGGGGATGGGCATCTCTTGTTGTATCTTACAGCAGCGTGTGCATTGATAATGCCCTGAACATGGGGTTGTGCGTATGTCTCCACAGATGTGGAGTATTTTCCCTGTTTCTATTTTATGATGATTGCTGCGCACAGCTGTTATACAGGTGCTAAACGTGTCACGTTTTTATGAGTGAAAATCCAGAGGGGCATTGCTCCAAAATCTGAGTATTTGCCACAGTGCGCAGTTTTAAAATGGGCTCCCAACTGAGGCAATCACAGACCTACAGATCAGGTTAAGACAAGTGAGAGAAATCACTTTGGACAGCTAGGATTTAGATTTTTCTATTGAGCAGCTTGACCTTGCTGCTGTTTTGTGTTCAGACAGCCTGCTGAGCTAGCATGAGGGCGTTAAATTAAGTGTCCTTACCAACTTAAACACAGCTAGATGTAAACTGTGCTGGGTGCTTCATTTATCATCCGCCATTGAATGCTGGCACCGACGTGTCCATATGCAGCATCAGAAAGTCACTCTGGGCAAAAGACTGTAAATCTGAGGCTCAGTCAGTTGGAAATGCGTCGTCTTCTGTTTCACAGCCCTCATCTTATGATCTGGGCCAATAAAACAGATGTATTTTATGTGAAAAGACAACTGTGGCTTTATGATCACTTTTAAGCCATGTATTGGCAGTGTCATTCAAAGTCTTGCGCTTCCACCCTCATTTCAATTTGTCTTGTGTTTGTTTATCAGTGTGAGGTGAAGCTGGCCCAGAAGCGTGGGCGCCTGGAGAGCAGCCTCAGTGGGGGAGCCAGCGAGGATGAGGAGGGAGATGATGGTGGAGAATCTGATTCAGACGAAGAGTCCTCAGCCAAAGCCCGCTACTTTGGCTACATCAAGCAGGGCCTGTATTACGTGACAGAGATGGAACGGTTCGCTCCACCACGGAAACGCCCTCGCACAGTTATTAAGAACTACCGTCTGGTCAGCCTGAGGTCAACCACTCCGGAAGAACTGTACCAGAGGAAGGTAGGAGGCTAACATGGCTTGTAAATAAATGCAGTCTGATGAGAAAACGAACTCTTTGGAAGCAATACGTTTGTGGGTGTCACTCTAAAGGCAATAATTTTATTGAACAGGTAAAAGCTCACATTGTGCCCCACAGTGAGGATACCCTGCTATTTAGTCAGCAGGGTGAGAGCTAAATTTAATAAGTGGGTAGCAGATATAAGTTACGTGGGGTTTGTCTCTTGAATTTCAAAGACTTCCTCTGAAGCCTGAATCTCTATGGTTACATTTTATGTTTCACTTTGAATTGTGAAAGTGGTGGATCATGAGACCTTTGTATGGCTGCAGAATAAATCCAGCCCCTCTAGTAAATGGCTATCACTGAAAAGCTTGTGATGAAGCCTGTTGAAAAAGATGAATTTCCATTCAATTTTCTGGAGCCATTTATTGTATGTTCATCACTAAACAGTGAATCCTGGCTTTGATGATCCCCCGACTGATCTGTTGCCGATGAATCCTCCTGCAGATTAGGGATCTTTGATTCAGTTTACCATGCATCTCTATGCGTGATTACAACTTCAGATTTTCCTTTTCACTACTGCACATCATGCGTATAAAAAATATGGTCAATTTCCAGCTCGCCTATGCATGCTTATGTCTCAGCTCTGGTAGTTGCCACCTACGCCTCTCTAAACTGTTGCTTTCCAGTGTGCCTTGGTTTTGACAGGTCTGTGGATTGCATTCTCTTACTGTGCACCTCAGACAAGGAATATTTAGAGAAATATCTAAACTTAGACAAACTTATGTGCAGGGATGGATTTCATGACATTTATTGTGTATTTTACTTTATGTTTCACTTGCATTTGTTGCATGTTGTGGGTCTGTATGGCTGCCAGCTCTATTTTGGTAAAGACATTTTGGGACTTCCTCGGGAAAAAAAAAAAAAAGTTAATAATTTAACCATAAGAATTGTTATGATATTTGTGATAATATGGTGATTAACTCAACTAACTAAATCCACAAAATCCCAAATCTGTGGCCATCTACATTTACAACTTGCATTCAGAATCCAGTCAAAGCCTCGTTGATTTCAAATAGAAATTCAGAAATTCCTCCACAAATAGTGACGTACTTGCTGCAGAACAGTGATTTACTTGCAAAATGACATAGGTGCTTGGCAACCATGCTTTTATATAGGAAAATAACCAGTGGACAACCAGCTGAGTTGAGTCCTCTATTGCAAAGAGGCACATCACACATGAGTTGCAGTCATCGGTGCAGACTGACCCAGGTGGCTGCTGCCACTCATTTAGAGCTGCTGAAAGTTTTAGTTGTCGAACTGTCCAGATGTCTCTGTTGAAAACTCTCTAGCATGATCTGCCTTTGGTGCATCAGCTGTGTGCTCGGCCAGCAATTAGGATGGTGGTAACTCAGTTCATATCGACAGTAAATGCAAATAACTTTGGTATTGTCAAGGGAACCATCTTTAAAGCTGAACTTGCTATTTTTTGTTTTTTTGAAACATTCAGGGAATAGGTGCTGTTTGTAGACACGCAAGGCAAAGTTTGACATTTCCTGTTGCAGCTGTGTTAAACAGAGAGTTCTCAGAGTGAGGTCGCACAGTTTTGGTGAAAGTACAGAGTCAGATTTCTCTTACTGTTTACTTATTCATTGCAGCACACGCAACAAAATGCTTACGTGTTTAGGTTGTGAAGAGCTGTCGTCAGTGCTCATGCTGAGGTGCCTTCATGTGTTGGATTTGAAGCCTCAGCAATCTAAACAACAATTCCAGTGCTGATGTGCAGTTCTCTGCCTTGTGTGGTTTTATAAATTCATACTGGGAAAGAAATTAATATTACCTACTTAACATGTCAAATATACTCCATTTCTAATTACACAGTCCTTTATGTAAGGCCTTTATCATATTAACACTGATACTGAGTCATATGTGCCTCAGTGCTGTGCCAGTTAATCTTTTTTGTTGTTGGATATCACATTTAGCATGAAGCTCTTCATTTCTTTTTGCTACTTAATTTAGCAGCATCTGAAGAACGTCATCTGAATCCATTTGGCCATTGACTGAATTGTAACGGGCTGATCTGCAAAATTGGTTTCTGACTAAATAAATCCTGTGCCAGCTCAGTGAAGTGCTATTGTTTTGTTGGATCGGCTCCAAAGTGCCGTTGAAGAGAAATGAAAACCAAGCAAGATGTTCAGCCTGCTTTAAGGCTATTTTTCAGACGGGGGATTCTCTGAAATGCTAATTGCTGCATTAGAAATATGGCTGTTGGTGCTAGTTGCTACAAATTGCAGCAAAGACAACAACATGCTTTATCATAAAGCCCAGTGAGAGTGGTATCGGCTCTCAACCGGCGCAAGTTTGAGCACGGTTCATCAGTCATTTTTATGACCCATCATCCACTGCCTTCTTCATCATTGTCATCATCATTAGATGCCATTAGTCATCACCATCAATCCTAACAGTGGAGAGTTACAAAGTAATACATCATTATTATCTCTTTGTAACACTTGGTACTAGCAGCACCATCCCAGCTGCTGCTTCTGCTCTCCTGTTTGATTTTTTTTACATTTTTTTATTTGTTTGGTTTTAATTTGTACAACATATAGCTCTATAAGTAAAGAGGGAGGGACATATTCGCACTGCTGAGTCTATCCAGTCTTTTAAATTACGTCTTAAAACTTATTTTTTTACTTTGGCTTTTGATTCTGTCTAGTTGGCTGTTTTAGCTTGTTGCGTTGTTACCTATTGTTTGTTGTCCTCTTTTATTGTTTGTTTTAACTGTCTCATGTTTTTATTGACTGTGAAGCACTATGGTCAACACTGTTGTTTTAATATGTGCTATATAAATAAATTTTGATTTTGATTGATATTTATTATATGTGTATGATTGAGTTTAATGTGTGCATGGATATGTTTTTGTTTTTTTGTTTTTTTTGCATGCGTTTTAATTCAAAGTTATTGCTTGTCTTCTATATGCTTAGTTTAATTTGATATTTCAGTAGCTACGCACACACAGACACACCCACGCAGACACTTTCACTCAGTCGCAGAAACCAGAATGACCCGATCTCTCCCCAGAGATTCACCTCAGCCAAGGTCTGTGCTGCAATTGACTGTGAATAGACTCGAACAAGTGATTCCAGGTTATTTCCTCAAGTCAGCCTGTTCATGTGTTTAAGAGTTTGATGATCCATTTGTTGGCGTAACCCTGATTGTATGAGTAGAATACTGGCAGAGCTGCTAACAGTTTTATTAGCTGAATCCAGAGAGAGAAGGAAACATTTTTGATGTCCTCCTACGTGAGGTTTAACTGTGTGGGGTTCTTATTGCCCTCCAGGAACCACAGTCTGGATAATGTGTTGCTTTGTACTCCTACACAGAAAAAGAGATGGATACTCAGTGTGTCTGTCAGCCAGTGTTCTGCCACATATGCACTTAAGCACAAATTGAGTGGGCTTGCAAAAAAATATATTTTTGATATTGGGCTGAAAGATTTTGTGAGACATTGATATGATAAAAAAAATCTTTTATTATTATAATGTGCTGACATTTATTCCTGGCCAATAAAATATTATTAATAATGACAACATCAACAATAAATAGAACGGGACAGCAGCATGTGTCCATTTTCATAAAAACTCATAAGACTGTTACAGTTAAAATAGGTGATTGTGCTGTTAAAATTTATTAATGTGGAAGCAGAAATGTTCCACAGAATCAGTTTGTCTGACTTGTTCACTGCTTTAGATTAATATCATCATAATCTGAATATGATTTTTAGCTAGCCTCTGCATGGTAAGTAATATACTTTAGCATGCTAAATAAAACTAAATAAGGGTAGAGCTTCACTTTAAAATGCTTACTAGCGTGTGTTGTAAAATAGAAGCTAATGTCTGATGAATTTATTGGCAAGGTCATATTATCAGCTGTGTGACAATCTATTGGCAGTGACATTGTAAAGGAAGACTCATAACATTTTTAAAAAGGGAGAGTAAAAAGGAAGAGAAACACCCTTCAACCATGCTACGAGAGTTGACATTGCAAGGTCTGTCCACCAGAGGGCAGAATACCAGAGGCTGTTATGAACATGTGATCTGAGCAGCCTGGTAGTGTGTGTGAGTGTAAAACTGAAAATAAGTAACGACACATAGCAAATGTTAGGGTCTGCTTATGTTTTTGGAGTCTGAAAGGAAAAAAATCGGAATATCAAGGAGTATTTAGATCACCAAATACTGCATTAGTTTTAAAAATCCTGTCTCAGGCAGGCTCTACTTTAAAGCATCCGCTGTGCCGATGGTCAGTTGTGATTGTGGTGTAGCTATTTTGGCTTTTTATTT